CTTTGTAAGTAAATTTCACTTCTTACACCAACCAGCCTATATTTTATTAGTCAATTTCATTATTTCCCCCTTTTTTGTCTGGCTGAGAAACTATTCAAAAAGACCTCCAAGACCTTTGGAAAGAAGATTGCAACTGTCTCTTTAAGGAAACTTGAAGACTTATCAAGCTGAGGTTGGAGTGCAGTAGGAGCTCCCTCTTTTTGCCCCTTTAGGCAAAGAAGCAGTCTGCTGCTAATAGCATCAGGAAGCATCAAGCCCTGAGAGCATCTGGAGCATCACAAGTAACTCAGCCCCATGTAATTATGTTAATTGCCTTTAATTGCGCCCAGAGACCCACACACACTGCTTCACAGATTGCGACAATCAAATAGTAGTGAGTTAATTTAGAAAGAACTTCAACGAGCATGTAAGCCAGAATACAGCATGGTGGTACCCTTACTTACTGGGCTCACAGAATTATCTGGGAGCAGTTGATGCCAAAGTACCTGGGGAAGAGCAATGGGGAAGCATCAGTTTTGAATGCTCTACCAAGGTCCTAGGTTCAATTCCTGGCATCTCCAGGTAGTTCAGGGGGAAAGCCCTGCCTGAAATTCTGCTGCCAATCCATGTAGATCATACCGAGCTGGATGGACCCAAGGGGTATAAGGAAGTTTCCTATATTCCTGCATCATTAGGTGGAAATGTCTGATGGATCCCTGTGTGGTAGATAACTGGGAGCCCCATGTAAGCTGCTTCATCCTAAGGAAGTGGAGGGTGTAAGCAGAACTAATAAATTACCTGTTTATATCCTATACAGTGGTACCTCTGGTTGCGAATGGGATCCGTTCTGGAGGCCCGTTTGCAACATGAAAAGAGTGCAACCCACAGCAGTGCTTCTGCGCACGCGGGGGTTGCGATTCGCCACTTCTGCGCATGCGAGTGACGTCATTTTGCGCTTCTGCACATGCGCGAGTGGCAAAACCCAGAAGTAACCCTTTCCGGGACGTAACCTGAAAGAACATAACATGATGTAACATGAGGTATGACTGTATTAGGGTAGCCAATGTGATGTTCTCTAGTTATTGCTGAACTACAACTCCTATCAGCACCAACCAGCCTGGCCCAAGGTATTATATGTCTAACAACATCTCAAGGGCATCTTGTGGGCTATGTCTGCCATAGACTGAGGGCAGCTTACAATACTTGGGTGCAATATTAGTATGGAAGGGCTTTTTTTTCAGCTGGAACTCACTGGAACTCAGTTCTGGCACCTTTCAGGTGTGCGCCATTGCCATTCTAAGAGAACAAGGGAGGTGTTCATGATGAGTTCTGGCACCTCTTTTTCCAGAAAAATAGCACCGACCGGAATGAATTTGGCCTGCTATTGTATTTCTGAACTCACACACTGCTCTCTTCTCCGACCCTTCTTCGGTTTGTGTGCTCAATTAAAAACACCTCAAGCCTTGCCTTCACTTTTCCTCTCTTGCCTCTCTCTCTTCACCGCTGGAGTCGCCTCGTCCTTGTTAGGATCCCCACATGGAAGGCTCTTAGGCAGTTGTGGCTGACAGTTCTTCCTAAGCTGTCTTGACTATTAACTTCTCACATTCTTGAGCCCCATAGTGAGAAGTGGGAATTGGCAATGTTGCCTGCCTGCCTTCCTTGTCATCTCCTGTGACATTTCTCTCTATTTTGATTGCAATTTTTATTTTAAAAAATATTATGCTCTCTCTCTCTTTCAGCTCAAAAAATTGGCTGATGTAGGTATGATCTGGTTAGGCAGCGAAGCAGGGCATGGAGAATTGTAGACTGTGGACCCCAATACGCCTCCGTTTCTGTATGAGCTGAGCACACCAATTTATCAAAATGCTATGCAGATCGTAGGCTGAGAGCGCAGGTGTACACTTGGCTACAAATGCCCACATACTGCATAATTAGAATAACTTTGCCATTTCCCTCTTCAGTATAAGCAAACCTCAATAGTTGTCTTCATGTTGTTTTCTGGCAAGCAAAGCATTTTCGACATGTCTGGATGAAAATTGCACAAAACAGAGTTGCTCTGGAAAGGACTTGGGTGAACTTGTTTCATTCAGGGTCAAGTTCAGACTATTCCCTTGTTTCATGATTTATTTATTTTTAGTTATTATATCTGCGTTGCTAGGGTTGAAAAGCACCTTCCATTTCTAAGATTTTTGGTCCATGGTGTTCTGACTGGCATGATCCTTCACATTTTCCTCCTTTGTTTCAGCTCTGCTAGGCTATCACAGATGTTGCCAAGCGTGCCTCATCATGCAGGGCAAATGCTGAGCTGAACTGTGCCAGATTAGGAGGAAAAAGCAACTGACTGCCATCTCTCTCCCACCTTTTGAAATGAGAACTCTTTAACGCTGGGAGGTTCTGCTGCCGCCGCCAGTATGAAACACAGAAACAGTTACACAAACTGGCACCATCCCCAGTGCATTCTGAAGAACTCTTTCATCAATGGAAATGGTTTTATATTCCTTAATCAAAATTGCTTGAAACAAACGTGTGAGCCACAACACACCAAACCAGAGCCGGGCGGTTTTTGTGCCCTGCCACCAGGGCACCACTGTAGGAGCACAACATTCATATGTGTTCATATTATCTTGCATTGACACTGCATCATGGGTTTAGTGGAAAGCAATTCTCCCCAGGCACGCTCTTCAACAGCAGAGATGCAAAATTTGACCCCAAATCCATTTTAGATGAAAATAATAATAATAATAATAATAATAATAATAATAATAATAATAATAATAATAATTTATACCCCACCCTCCCCAGCCAAGACCGGGCTCAGGGTGGCTAACAACCAGTAATAAAAACAAGTTGATTGAAATACAACTTAAAACAAGATTAAAAAACAACATTAAAACATTAAAATGCAGCCTCATCACAGGAGGAGAAAGGAAAAAGGATAGAAAGAGGGGGGAGAGAATCAAATTGTTTCCAAGCCAAAGTCAGGTGGAACAACTCTGTCTTACAGGCCCTGTGGAAAGAAATCAGATCCTGCAGGGCCCTGGTCTCATGAGACAGAGCGTTCCACCAAGCCGGAGCCAGTGTTGAGAAGGCCCTGGCTCTGGCTAAGGCTAATCAACTTCCTTAGGGCCCGGGACCCCTAGGGTGTTGCTATTTATGGACCTTAAGGTCCTCCGTGGGGCATACCAGGAGATTCAGTAGCTTCTGTAGATTGAAATATATCACACATTCAGGATCCTCTTTTTCATCCCCATTGTCCTAACAGTTCACGACAGAGCATGATTAGGAAACCAACAGCGATAATAATTGCAGCAGTGGCGGTGACAGGAAGACAGCTCTGCCCCACCACACTGTCCCTCACTGTTGCTCCCTGGAGCCTGTGCCATCTCCTGTAAGGCAGCCCCTCAAGAGTTTTGAAGATGGCTGCAGGAAGCCACACTTCTGCACCACCTTGCAGCGCCCGGTTTTGTACATGGCTAAGAAATGCCAAAGCGCCACGGCCAGAAGATTAAATGCTTAAATATTATTTCGCTGAGCTGTTTGGGAATTTATGAATTTGAACAATGATCAATTTCCTCCCTAATCCCGGGAGAAAGCTATAAAACCAGGTTTTAATTAATTTAGTCACAGCAGAACATTGTTATCGACGTTCGGCTGCCTCATCTGTATGCAGCACCACCAGCCTCCGTGCGATAAGAAGTGGGCAGCCAGGGCGCTTTATTAGTTCGCCTTCACCTTTTGCCACCAGAGCTAATTTGCATTGAGATTGCTTGAATCAATGCCACCAGCAAATTGCCACATCTCGTAATTCATAACAGAGCCGTTCTTAAAGCGCGGCCTGAAACCATGAACTCGAGAGCACAAACAGGGAGTGAGACCCATCACTTCGACAAAAGCAAGCGATGGAAACAATTCAATTACATTTTGTGCAATGACCTATAAAGCGCGCTCTCTCTCTCTGTGTGTGTGTGTGTGTGTGTGTTTCTGTAGATGTGCATTGCGAAGGAGAGCATACAATTGTTCTTGTGCTCCAGTTCTGCTGAAGTGGTTCTCCTCTTGCTTTCAGATAATCTTCGTGCTAAATGCTTGCTACGTTTTCCATTTGCTCAGACAAAAATGGCAACCTAGATTAAAAAGTGGAAAGTACAACAGACGAGGCTCCGTGAGTTCTCTGCAGAGCATGTGGCCTGTGTGTGCAAATTAGCTTCACTTTTGCACATTTTGCGTGTGCATCAAATTGTAGTCCTCATGATTGCGGGGGTCAGTTGGGAAGTATGGGGACAGAAAAATGAGGAAACCATGGTGTGCAGTCTGCAAGAGGCATATGAAAGACTTTGGTGCATTCGTGTTTTCAAAGGTAAAGGACCTTAAACACCCAGAGTGAAAGGCACAATAGATATGTGCAGCATACAAAACCTTTATCTGCATTTTGGAAACTTGTTTGTTTTGTTTATCTGTTTGCTAGGCATTTGGACACCCCATAACCAAATTTGACAGGAATCATTGCTTGGAAACAATTGGACGCCATTTTGAATCAAAATGGTGGACAGAACCTTTCAAAAACCTCAGTTTTCAGGGGTTCTTGGAATTCTGGAGCAGCAGTCTGGGTAGTAACAAAGAAAGAAAGAAAACAATACAAATACAGAGCAGATCACCTGGTGTAGACTTACCTTTCAAACAGAGCTGGAAGATCTCAGTCAGTAAAAGGACTCATTTAAACATTTGGCCTGTCACAGAGAAGATTAGAGACACACATGAGAGGTGCCTTCCAATATCTGAGGGGCTGCCATGTAGAATATGGCGCAAACATATTGGTCCAGAAAGGAGGGCTAGATTGAACAGGTGGAAATTGCAGATGAAGTAAAAACATCAAGTTAATGTTAAGAGAAACATCCCAATGGCTTTCTGACTGTGGAACAGGCTGTTTCTCCTGCAAGAATGTCTAAACAGGGTAAAGTGAAGTGTATTGTATATTAATATGGACTTTGCTGTGTTTAAGAACTGAAGAAACACCCAAAACCATCTGATGGGTACCAGGGCTTTATTAACATTTCACTGAATACAAATAAATTCGGTTGTCGCCGTTGTCTCTACATTAAATACACATTCTTTTAATAAAAATCCACATTTGCTATACAGAACTGTAGGCGCTTTTTTTGTTTTTGTTTTTAAGAAATGCAACATTTACTAAAGCACCCAGATTCTGAAAGAATGAGAAAATCAGGTGCAGCCGCGTGAACCTTTGGTACACATTTGCAATTTGAGCCAACTTAACACATCCAGAATTCTCATCCAAATAAAATCCAGTCACTCTGATGCTTTGAGTATGTGTTTTCTTGGAGAAAGAAGGAAAGTAAGGGGTTTAGGGATTAATGCTGTCCTGTCAGGGGAAAAAACTCCATTTGGATTTTCTTGTTGACAATAATTAGTACTGCGTGGTGCAATGTATAGTTTATTTCTGGTCTGTTGACTGCAATAAACTGATGATGGTGTCAATCATTATAACCTCAACCCAGCTACAGTTCATTGCAGCTGCGTCCCATTGAATGCAATAAACCAGTCACAAGATGTGCAACTGACATGTCTCACCACTTTCAATGCAGCACTTGGCCTGATACATTTAGTTGGAAGCAAATCTCAATAGGACTTACTCCCAAAGTTCTTGTACATACATGTCTTTAACTTGGCCAGGACCATTGTTCTTAATGGCAATGAATGGTGGTTTAGAAGGTATTTCTGCCTGTAATAGTCCCATCGTTTTCAAGCATCGGCTATGCTGGCTGAGACTGGTGAGAGTTGGAATCCAGCCATGGAAAAGTCCTGCTTTGGAAATGGCAGCTCATTCGGTAGGGCATGAGACTCTTAATCTCAAGTTTGTGGGTACAAGCCCCACGTTGGGCAGAGGGTTGCACTAGATGACCCTTGTGGTCCCTTCCAACTCTACAATTCTATGATTCTATCATCAAAAGCGTGGCAGCACCACATTATTTCCTGCTTATGAAGCAGACCCATTTAAGAACCAGGCCACCACCCTCCATGAACTAAGACTTCCTTAAGGTCACTGAAAGCAAGGGTACCTGACTAGGTGCGGGAATGGGGCTTCAATCTGCAGCTTACAGTTGTGGTCAGCCATTGTGGTGGTGGTTAATTCCATCCTAGCGCATCCCTTTATTTTCATATGTTTCTAATAGCTGGGGAGAAGATTGCCTGGCACTCGTGCGCAGCCCCACACAAAGTACTTACCTTGTGACAACTGCCACCACCTACCGAAATTTGAATTGGCCTCAATGAACGCTTTCACAATAGGACTCATCTTGTTTCTGTGATTGTGAGGTGTTTTTAAATTGTTTTTAATGTTGTATTCTAATTGTTGTAACCCACTCTGGGACCTTAGGGTGAAGTGTGGGCAATAAATAAAGATGATGATGGTGATTTGCAAATAAGAATGGCATTATCTTCAGTTGAATTTTGGTAGCAGGACTATATTTACCCCTAACTCAAGAAGTGGGTTGTTCAGAAAATAGAAGGTGTACCACAAGCCTACACTCAGAAGTAAATCTCAGAGTCTTCTCCCATGTGAATATGCGCAGGATTGTAATCTTATCCTTAGTCATGTCTACTTAGAAGTGGATGTTTATAGAGAAGCAAGTCACACCATGTTGAGTAAGTGAATTTAGGATTATAGCCTGAATCAATTTTTCTCCCTGTGAAAGAAACACCAAACTCAGTTTTCACTTCTGCTCAGAACTTCAGTGACATGGCTGGCCAACTGTCTTCCACTCCCACCCATTCCAGACTTGATAACGTTGGGTGGGGGGCAGTTGGCACTAAAATGTTGCTAGAGTACTTGAATTAGGTAAAGAGAAGTTAGTGCATACTGTGGGGTAGTTAGTGGTACTTAGAGTAAACCCACTGAAAACAACGAAGTTGTCTATTGATTTTAAATGGGTCTACTTTGTACAGTATATGACTTGGTTGGTTATCACCCACTGAAGGAGAGACATGGGTTCAATGGTGAGGACAGAACACCAGTGCTTGATATGTGTCAGAATGAAAACTGCATCCTTTTTTGTTTGGTGATTCCCTTCATTGTTTGTGACAAATGCACCATCTGAATTATTTAAAGAGCTTGTGTGAACTGGCCGTATAAATCAGAGTGGAAGTAATTTTTTTCCATTCAATTTGAAATTTGACAAATCCCCCCTATCTATAATAGCTATAATATTCAGAACATTGAAGAACAAACCTAGCATAGTGTAGGCATGTATTTATGTTTGTTTTAAAATATTATATCCCAAGTTTCAGGAATAAAACTAGAATTTTTGGTCTCTGACTTTGGTTTCTGTGTCACAACACCTGTCCTCCCTCTCTCTCCTTCCTAGGTTTGAAACCTGGCAGTGAAACACAGATTATGTTGAATTTCAGATTTAATTATCATGAAACCTGCAAATCAATCCTTGCAAATTCATTCCATTGTAAGATTTGTGGTTGTATATTTGACATTGTTTTGTTTTTTAAAAAAGCAAACATTCATTTTTCTTAAATCTTTACAATTAAAACTTGCATACTAAGAAGGAAAGCAACCGAACCCTAGGAGTGAGATCTAGCGAGCTTCAAGAGCTCCATGCACTCGTTGGTTTTTAAAGAAGTCTTTCTATTAAAGAGCTCTCTGGATCTCAGCCCAAATACATTAATCCTCAAGCACACATGAAACTTCAAGATTTCACAAGCTGGAACATTTGTAGCATTAAGGAAGATAACACAACTACCCTTTCCATTGAGGCTGAAGTTGCTAATTCTCATATATTGTACAACGTAGTACACACCCCACACCCCTGAACACATACATACACACAAACACAAACGTGAAAACTTACAGGAACACTGGCACAATTTCAAAATTATGAGCTGGGGGAAGAAGGAATCACTGAACTCTTAACAAATTGGTAATCAATACATTTTACAGAGTATACAGCGCATTTGATCTTTCTTTTTTTGTCGGCAGGTAAACGGGAACAGTTCAGAACAATGTAAACACAGAAGCTACTGCAGAGTTATGCCACACATACTGTATAATACACAATTAGCTTTTGCTTCACTGTAAAAGAAGCTAGACTAGTTATTGGCTGAGCTCTTACGGTCCACACAAAGGACAGCGTTCAGGCAGCTGGGCTTGTCCCTCCAGGTGTCCTATTTGAAATAAAGTACACTGAAGCTGTTCTGTAAAGCAGACTGACAATCCATCCTCAGAATTGCTTGCTCTAAGGCTGTGTACACACTCCTGCTTTTACTCTGCACTCAGTCTGCTCCCACTGCTGGTTGGGGGAGCAGTGTACACATGATCCTTATCTACCTTGCCATTTCTAACAACATACTATGTTTTGAGGCACTCTCCCCCAAACCAGCTTCAATCTACATTGAGAAAAAGAATGACTGGCAGAGTTCTAAGCTGGTAATGTGTGCACAGCCTAAGGCAGAAATGGAGAACCTGTGGTCCTCTTGATGTTGTCAGGAGTCAGTCAGCCCTGACGTTGGGTTGATGGGATGTCTGGGGCTGATGGGAGGCAGAGTCTGGCAACATCTGGAGGGCCAAAGGTTCCCCAAGCTCTCCTCTAAGGGGCACAATAGACAGCTGTGTTTTGTTGTCCTACAACACCAGAAGGGAATATTTATGAACATTCCACTGAACCAGTAAAAAAAACCAACACACTGGATTTGAATGGGTGTTAAAATGGAAATACAGGATTCGGCCAAACAAACACAACCACACAGAGAGATACCCATCCCTAAACATACTGGCTTTAGCCAGTGCTTCTTTTCTAGAAAAAGAGGTGCTGGAACTCACCATGAACACCTCCCTTGTTCTCTTACAATGGCAATGGCGCCAGCCTGAGAGGTGCCGGAACTGAATTCCGACAAGTTCCAGCTGAAAAACAGCCCTGGCTTTAGCTATGCTCAACACCTGATAATTCTGGGTGCAGATTCCTAATTTGCATCCGGTGATGTCTCAACGTAGGTGTTGGATATGCATGACAATGTGGATGGAGAAATCCATCCAGTTGTACGTTTGGTAGCATATCTGCGTCAGCAACTGTTATGGAAGGCTGCTTATGCTCCTGTGTTGGATCAGAATAATTCTTGCTTCTGGAAAGTTTGTTCCCAATAGATTTTTTTTAAAAACAACAACAACAACAACTGATTCCCCCCCCCAATCACTTCTTCCCATGAAAAATTGGTGTCAGATGTCGGTGAGATGTTTCATACACTCCATTCAGCAGACAATGTTGGATGATTAGCCATCTTTGAACATTTGACAGTATTAGCCCATAGATGTTCAGCGTCTAGTCTCTCTTGTCATCATTAACCTAAGGCCAAGGTTTTCTCAGACTATGGTTTGGGGAGCCATGGGATTCCTTGGAAGTTTATCAGGGGCTCATCAAAAGACTAGTCATGGTGGACTTGGGGAAACTCCCCCTTGGCAGCTTTCCCACCAGCTCCATAACTGATATTTGCTTGCAGTGCATGAGCCCAGGGGAATCCTGGGCACTATCCATTCATATATGGACTAGGATACTCTCTACTGTCACACCATTGGTCTGTCTTTCCCAGTAATGGGACTGACAGAGGCTCTGCAGTGTTTGAGGCAAAGATTTCTACCAACCCTTCTGATCTCCGTAACTTGGGACTGGGGGAACCTGTGACCCTGCAGCTGTTGTTGAACTCTGACTCCCGTCAGTGCCAAGAAGCATAGTCTGTGGTCACACCTGCTTTTGCCAGAGATGCCAGAGACCAAAATTGGAACATTGTGCATGCAAATCCTGTGCTTTGCCACTGACCAATGGTACCACCCAATACTCCATCACACAAATGAGCTTAGACAGGTGGGAATAGAAGCAAGATCTGGGGATATTACTCCAAGAAGGATCCTCAGGGAGAGAAGAAACTTGGAATCTTGCTACCCTAGAGCACAATTTGCTGAATATGGGAATATTGCACACCCATTACTGTTGTCCTAGCAGAAATGGAGGTGCAGTTAAGGCTGGACTTTGGAGCAGAAATCTAGGGTCCCCTTCAGCAGAATGAGAAGTAGGGCCCTCAGCTGACATTTTGAAATAAGTGGAATAATATGTCTTACCCCACTAAACAACATCCCTGTAAGACCACTAAGCTGAGAGTCTAGAATTACAGCTAACATTTCACCACTGAGTGGGGACAATCCAAGTGACTTGGAGGTTTTCCAGTCATAGTGAAGCAAGGGAGGCGAGAGTTAAAAGAGGAAAAGGGATGAGATTATAGAGTAATGTGGGATCCAGAGGTGAAGAAGTAGAGATAGTTGAAGTGGGGCTATGATTGTGAAAGATCTGATTTTATGTATGGTGTCCACAGTCTGAGAAGACCCGTGACAGGGCAACAGCTGGTAGATCAACTAAGCTAGGCTGTTTCTCAGGTTTCTCTGAAAATTCAAATAAATTATCAGACCTCTTCTTCATGTTCTGTTATGAGGTCTTGTGATGATTTCAGGTACTTATCATGTGCTCTCTCTTTTGGGGGGTTAAAAAAAGAGGTGCTGGTATATATTGATAAAAGTACCATGGGTGCCAGCCCAAATTGGCTGCCATGGGCCACAAAAGAAGTACTGGTACTTCATACCAGTGAGTACTATGAGGGAAAATGCCCGAGGGGGGGGAGATTACATATCTTCCAACTGTATCTCTGAATTCTAGGATATGTTTATGTGTGAGGTACTTCCTCACATGGTCAAGTATATAAACATTTTGGATATTCCTTTAAGAACAACATGGGGCAGTCTTCCTTTGTAACTTTCTCTAGAACAGTGGTTCTCTCCCTCCTCGCGGACCACTTATTGTTTTTTCTGCCTGTTGTAGCAACTGCAATGTGTGGTGCTACTTGTTGTAGCTTTTAATTGTATTTTTTATTACTTCTTTTGTTTCTTCTATATTGCAGCTTACAGTACTATAATTTGAATTCCATAGAATGCAAACAATAAAATCCAATATAAGGAATAAAAGAAGAAACAAAAACACAATTAAAATTCAGTACCAGTATTTAATGGGATAGGTGTGCCTTCTCCCATCTTAAACCACAAATCCACAGACATGCTGCAGACTACCTGAATGAAGCTCATGGACCACATTTTGGAAACTCCTGCTCTAGAAAGAATAGCTTTTCATCATTCATTCAGACAAGAAAAGCTTATTTTAGCTTAATAAGTGGGACTTGCAACAGAACGCTGCAGCATGGAGTGCTTCCATTCAAGATTCCAGTCATGCCATTTCCCTGGATACTCCATTGCATTCCTATTCCCCAAAGGCAGTTAATACATTTTATAACTAACTAACTAAAGTGACAAATCAATATAATGATTTTTTTTAATTGACTTCTCAGGAAGCCATGGTTCCAAATGGTAATGTAGAGTCAACCTCTAAAACTGCATAATGAAACTCTGTGCATAAGTCTATGACAGGCCTTCTGCCCCGCACAGGAGAAGACAGAATTAGACTCACAATGGGGAACTTCTTTTAAAAGCAATAGCAACAACATATTTGAAATGTTTAAAAATTTCAGGAAATCTGCTCATTATTAGGCATTGTAACTGCAACTGTTAACTTTTGACTGGTCTTTTCTTTATGATGCCACATCCTTCCCTCCCACCTGAGTTCCAACAGCACCTGGATAAGACTATACAATGTTCTTGTTCAGCAGCAGAATTACTAAAGACAATGAGAATCTACTGCACAGACGAAGGGCAATTCATGAATGCCAGTTACAAGTTAAGCATAGCGAATGATCCTCAATATGGCCAAAACCACATGTGGTTGTTGGAGAAATATTTATGAATGGCTTTCTTGAATAAGATAACTGTGTAAATGAAACCTGGTTGGGTTTCATGAGACACAAGCTAATCAATGTCAAGAAATGATCAGACCAAGTAGAAAAACAACAACCCATTTTCTTTCTCTCCCCCCCTCATCCTTTCTAAGTCCTCAGCATGTCCAAAAGAAAAGAATAATATTCAGCATGTGCTTGCAAAATCTGTGCCACAAGATTACAACCTAACACAACTAAGGGAGATAAGTTCCACTTTAGAGCATGTCGGACACATTACGGTACTATCAAGTCGTATCAGCTTCGCCTTCAGCCAAGATGTAGTTCAGTTTTATGATCGTGCTGATAAAATCGCCAAGTTCTACAAAGTCCGCAGTGACAATGTTGACACCACTTTCGCCCGGTGTCTGAGTCTGGACCCACTGCATCATGGCGGGGAGAGCTCTGGGGAGGAAGAAGAGAAAAAATTACCCACCATTGAAAGCATCAAATGTTCAGGAACATAAGAAGGCTCCTTACATTGAGTCAAACCACCAGCCCATCTAGCTAAGTGTTATCTACAATGACCAGCATTGGCTTCCCATGGTTTTAGACATGGTGACAACGCCTGTCGATGTTGTTGGGCTCCAACATAAATCAACGTACCTCAAGATGCCGAGCAGAGAAGAGAGAGAGAGAGAAAGGATTTTATTCTCAGCATCTTCAGAAATGTTCTTTTTTGTTTACTGTTTCATTTTGGATGCTCTCTGGGTTTTGATGTTCTGACTGAAGCTCAGAAACATCAGGAGGGCCAACGGTTCCCCACCCTGATGGGTCAGGTCTCAAAAATAAATAAAAATGGAGGTAGCAAATACAATTGGAAAACTTGCAGCAGAGAATCCAACTTAACAAAAGTCTACTTGATTTAATTCTCCTCAAGAGGAGAAGTTCACAGGTAGGAAAGTATATTTTTCCTTCCACAGATAATCTTAAAATTCAAATCACAACCAAAATCTGAACCATTTTAATGAAAATAGTCCATATGGACATGGCAACAAGAAGAAAAAACCCAAGTCGGTGTTTTCCCTGGGCTGGAGGTGGTGTGTCTTGTTTAAGGATGGACAAATTTGTTTAAGGATGTATAGTTCCATTAATTTGGGTTTCTCAATTTCTCAAACATAAATTCAATTCTTCACATTCCTGCAGCAATTTTAAAAAAAATTAGAAACCAGACACCTCATGTAAATGTGTTAACATTTTAGTGCAAATTTCTGCCAATAAACTACATTTTGTATGCAATTTTGACTACTATACACATGATTGCGATCAATTTTCACTATTATGCATTTTAAAAGTCATTTTCACTAATACATGCATGTTATGCACACTTTCCCCTAATATGTGCATTTTTGTTTGGCTTGAGAACTGCATCGCAAAATTTGGAGAAGGGCAAATTTCAAAAGACAGATGTGTTTTGGATCACATATTGGCTTGAGAAGTGAGAATTAGGTGGTTCCTTATTAGAATTCAAACAAAATCAAATTTGTCCCTTGTCCCTTGTCTTGTTTACCATTCCTTTTAATTCCCAGTGCCTCCATCCCTGTAATTGGCCTCATTAAGCAGTTTATTCAGTGAAAGCACAGCCCATGTGGCATGGCAGATACCCACATGGCTGAATGCTCTTAGAAACACAAAACAGCTACATTATACACCCTGACATTAGCAATAAACACCTTCTGGTTAGCTGTTAAAAAAGAGGGGGAGAGGGGGAGAGAAAGTGGATTATGTGTCTGGCCCAATGTGTTTCTCTTTCCCAATACAAAAACCTGCAGGTAGCCAAGGCCTTTGGAGAGTCAGAGAAAGCTCTCTCCATCACGGTGTGGTGTAGTGGTTCAGAGCGGTGGACTTGTAATCTGGTGAACTGGGTTCGATTCCCCGCTCCTCCACATGCAGCTGCTGGGTGACCTTGGGCCAGTCACACTCCTCTGAAGTCTCTCAGCCTCACTCACCTCACAGAGTGTTTGTTGTGGGGGAGGAAGGAAAGGAGATTGTTAGCCGCTTTGAGACTCCTGAAGGGGAGTGAAAGGCGGGATATCAAATCCAAACTCTTCTTCTACATCATCCCTGTAATGTTCCTAATGACTCCTCAAGTTTGCATCAAAATACCCACCCACCCCAAGCGCCAGTACCAGTTTTCCTCTCGGAATAAATAACAGGGCTATGGTTCCAATGCTACAGAATGGCCCTGATCTGACCCAAGACTATCTGGAGCTTAGAGTATTCAGATCTGAGTCTCAACTCAATTTGGGGGACTTAGGCAGTCATGTGGTAGAGGGACAGGGAGAAGGAGACAAATGTTTTCTTCTCCCCCTGGACCACTTAAACATGGTGAAACATGCAGTTGCAGGGGGAGAGGAGAAACACACAAGTTGCCTGCAAATCTCCTTCGCCCTCTCCTCATCACAATCACCCCCGGCTCTTTTGACATCCCCCAATCACTCCAGTCGAACCTGACATGGCCCAGGCCAATCTTGGGCTGCCTCAACCCAATCTGGATGAATCCTGGGTTGCCCCAAATCAGCCCACTCCAGTTCAGGATCTGAGAGCCAGCCAGATCCAGTACAGCCAGATCCAGATCCAGACCCTAGTAAGTAACAGCTACCAGATCGGTGCCATGGCAGGCCAAGTGTTACGTCTCCTGTCCCCTTACACTGTGGGCTTGGCCTGGTTTGGTGACCCAGTGTCATGGACTAGCTGGATGCTGAAGAGTGGTGGGAGGCACCAGCAGGGGGACCCCTAGGGGGAAAAGGCTCAGAGCCAGGGAACTGGTGGTGGGACAGTGATGAGCGAGAAGAGGGAGCAGAATGGGAGGAGAAGGAGTCAGAAGCCAAAGATGCAACAGGGTCTAGTGAGCAGGAAGAGGCTGGGAGAGCAGTCCAGAAGCAGAGGCAGAATCAGAGGCTGAATTGAGGTGGGGCAGAGAAGCAGAGAGGAGGCAGGCCACTGAAGAAGCCTGGGATGTTCTTGGGTTACAACTCCCATCCAGCATGGCCAATGGTCAGGCATGATGGGAGCTGTAGTCCAACAATATCTGGAGGGCTACCACTATATTATGCTGTTTGCATATCTCTCAGCCTGGTCTTTGCAACCAGAGAGAGGAATTCAGCATAGTGCTAGCAGACTGCTCTATCACTGGAAGCACTTCTGCTTGGCTGGTGGAATGACCTGACCTCTCTCCCCCCTGCATACTGCTCAGGGGATCTTCTGCCCCCCTCCCAAAGCCTATTTGAGAGATGCAGGGGACATGGGGGGTGGGAGAGGGAGAGGGAGGCATTGTGTTAGTGGAAGTGCTTGCACAGGTTTCCACTGGCTGAGCTTGTTTGTTGTATCCCACCAAGAAACACAAGTCCTCCAAGTCGGTGGTGGTTCCTTATTAAAAGGAACTGATCACACGGGGGCGAGGAATGGGGGAAGTAATCAGCTCATGATTGTTGCCAAGAAACTACCGGGTAGTGATCAATCATATTAAAATGTTCATCCAGCCTCAAAATGTTAAACTGTGCCATCTGATTGAATATGCTTCCAAATTTTATCCAGCAATTGGAAAGTGCTGAATTATAGATAAGCATTTCAGCAGAATGAATTCCATGGCTGCCGAACGGCAATTTAGAAAAGCTGAATTCATAAATTTGTAAAAGTTACTTCAACTTGTTTCCAATGAGCCTGATGCCTATAAGAAGGAAGAACTTCCATGGCTGATGCACTAAGATCAGCAAAGAATCTATGTCAGGGACAGGGAACCTGTGGCATTCAAGAATTTGTTGGACTACAATTCCCATAATCCCTGCTTTTGGCCAAGCTGGATGGGGCTGATGGGTGGTCAAGTCCAACATCATCATCCATGTCACCAAGAAGCTACTTGCACATTACTTTCCAATGTCCTGTTTTGTAATGGAGTGGGGGCTTTTCCAAAAGCAACAGACCCAGAAGTACCCCCAAACTATGTACCCGCTCCTCCAGATCAGCCAGCCCCCCAACCATCTGGTCCAGGGAACCACCCACTAACAGTGCCCAAGTCTTTGTTGGCTCTCATCCAGTCCATTACTGAGGCAAGACAACAGTCCAGCACATCCACTGCTTCACCCACAGATGTAAAGGGGAAGCAGAGCTGTGGGTCATCAGCAAATTGCCGACAGTGTACTCCAAAACTTTGGATAAACCCACCCAGTCATTTCATGCAGATGTTAGACAGCATAAGGGATAAAATCGAACCCCAAGGAACCCCAAATTGAAGCCTCCACAGGGCTGAAGAACACTCCCCAAGCAACACTCCCTGGAAGTAACCATCAGGCAGGACAGCAACCAGCTCAAAGCCACCCACCTCTAACTTGGACACCCGCTCAAGAAGGATGCCATGGTCAATGGTACCAAAAGCTGTTGAGAGGTTGAGGAGAATTAACAGAAGAAGAGGAGGAGGAGGCGGAGGAGGAGTTTGGATTTGATATCCCGCTTTATCGCTACCCGAAGGAGTCTCAAACATTCTCCTTTCCCTTCCTCCCCCACAACAAACACACTGTGAGGTGAGTGGGGCTGAGAGACTTCAAAGAAGTGTGACTAGACCAAGGTCACCCAGCAGCTGCATGTGAAGGAGCAGAGACGCAAACCCGGTTCACCAGATTACGAGACTACTGCTCTTAACCAGTATACCCCACTGGCTCCACACAGGGACACATTTCCCTTGTCTCTCCCCAACAGAAGTCATCACACAGCGCGACCAAAGCAGTTCTTAGAGCAGGGCTGGTGAACTTCAGGCCCAGGGACCAAAATGGCCCTCAGGATTCTCTCTAGGCCATGCCCTCCCCAGTTCACACCCCTTTTCAGGACACCCCTATCACCGACTCTGCTCCAGACGCCCCGAAGAGCTTTTTACAGGCTGGAATGTGCCTTTAGCCTGTGATCACGGCTCCTGCTGCTTGGATGCAGGATGAAGATGTATGTGTGGGTTGAAACCACATCCACTTTTAGCTCCTGCCCCACCTACCCCTGGCTTGTGCCCACAATTTTGCAGCCCCCAAGCAGGAAAGTGTTCCCTGCCCCTGACTTATAGTAACTGGTCTGTGTTCTCATTTCTCCATGACTAAAGAAGAGTCGTATTATTAATGTTGTTAATTTTAACGACAGCTGAACATTTAGATGAGCGGTAGTGTCGCTGGAAGGGTCCAGGCCAGGAGTACGTCTAGTTACGCATGAGGGAAATGGTTGGCTTTTGCAGGAAGCTTCAAAACACACCAAAGGTTTAATGAAGGATGGCTAGCTGCCTAGTCATCGAGGTCTGTTGTGTTTCCCAGACAGATGGGCTGCCAAGGCATACCTTCTGTTTCAGTCAGCCAGTCTCACGGGAGACCACAGAGGGCCTGACTCTGTGGTGTCTATTCCCATCGACCTTCTTTGGTGACAAGATAAAC